TCGAGGGGGAGAATGCTAGAAGATCTTTCTCAACAGATAATTGCTTGAAGATTTCATTTGAAGAAGACATATTGTGCATAAAGTTTCAAAGTTCAAACAAGTACTTAAAGCGCTGAATTTTCTTTCAAGTCTGAATACAAAGGGGGAGAATGTTAGGACTGAGAAATCAGTATTAATTGTATTCGTCTTGAAAGTTTATAAATAGTCTATAATTGTAAAAGTCAGTGTGTTTGACTTTTCTTTAGAGGTTTGACTTTGACATGTCTTTGTTGTTTGACCATATAAATATGGTTTAGTCTTTGTAATTAGGGAAGAAGAGCTTATTGTAAAATACGTACATAATAGAGAGTTTGACTGAGATTTACAAGTTTGACTTTCTCTCTCATTGTTCTTAAAGTTCATATCATGTTCTTAATGTCATATCTTAATCTGCCATGATGATTGTGATAATATGAAGGTTGATCAGTGATTTTGGACACAACATAAATGATGTTGAAGTCTCTTTATCTAGCAGTGTAAACGTTTATCCGATTATTATTTGATAAATGGATCCTTAATGTTTTCATATTTTTTTAAATACTTTCAAGAACTTGTGAGCAAGTGATTCTAACACTTGTACATGGATCCCCACGTTGTTACATTCCATTTACGATTAGGAATAGGCATAATCGATAGGGACATATGACAATTTAATCCGAATTTTTCCCATTATTTTCAAAAAATACTTGGTCTATATCATCATTTACATGTCAACCCAATTAAATAAACAAAACTTTTGTTCCAGACCCTTAAATGATGATTTTAAGAGTTGATTCCTCTAAATAAAAATTAGTGGAAGTTGGTTTCACTTTGAAGCAATTTTCCCTTTAAAATTATCCAAATATTATTAAAAAGATCATAACCTATTTTGTATAATGTATTTTTAAAACTTTCATTTTCTATCCCTTTTATTTAGAGAGAATTCTCGGTAAGATTAAGATGAAACCAAGAGAATTTGGATAAGAGCAATAGTAAGTTATTAAATATAACTAAAAAGAATAACGAATTATCATATTCTAAGTGATTAAGTTCCCAAACTCTTTTTTTTTTCATTTTGAAAAAAATAATCTTTAATCATTCTGAAATTGAAACAAATAAATCTTTCAACTTACTAAAATCGAGAAAAATCCAAAGAACTTTCATATTTTGAGAAATTAGGTCCTTGCATTTATATGAGTTTTCAATCAATGTATCTAGATTAGTAATAATCCAAATAAAAATGATTAAATACCATTTTCATTATTCATTATTTATTTTTTAAATTCAAATGAAAATCACAACAAAATTTAGTAGTTATATATTTTGCAGGTTTAAATGACAATCACATAATCATAACAAACACCTATGATCGTCATTTAAATCTGAAAAATTAAACATGGTATAATAAAAATGGTGTTATTTTTTTTGTTTTTAATGGTTTGTAGTATTTGTTTTCTACTGACTCATTGATACATGCAAAAAGAAATGGTAAATTTCTTTCATTATATAAGTGTAAGAATTTATTCATTCATAAAATGTTCAAGAACCTAATAGATCAAAATATAAAAGTCCTTTTGGTTTTTCTCCGCTTTATTAAGTTTATATATTTATTTGTTTGATTTCAAAAAGTTGGAACTTTGGGTTTTAGACATAGTTTGCATTTAAAAACAAACATAGTTTGCATTTAAAAACAAACATATTTTGATTCTATTCTTATTTTAAAGGACATACTTTGATTTAAACGTTTAAAATATCAGATCTGATGTACCATAATAGAAGTTATGATATCATGACAAAGAATATGAATCAAAACAACCCCAATCAATTGCGATAGAGCAATAAGACCTAACTCACAAGTAAACCTTAAAAAAGGGAATTGGGTATATTAAAATAAATAACATATAACCTTCATCCAAATACCCTAATAGATAACATTTGAAACATATTTTAAAGATCTAAAGTTTGATCTATGTGTCTTCAGTTTCTTGTTGTCCTACCAATCATTTTAAGACACATCATCTACTTATTTTTCTACATAAAAAGGGAATTGAAAGATAGAGATGAAAATTAAGCTATTGGGGGTGTAGTCATGATTTAGAATTAAAAGAGAAACACCAATGAAGCTAAGTACCTGATGGTTGGTCTTTAAAGGTCGAAACCTCGACCCTTGCAGCAATCGAGGATGTGCTTGTAAACGGAATATTTCTCTTTTGAGGCGAATGTGGAGATGAAGGTGATGGTGGTGAAACGGAAAGTGTCCGGGAAATTCCAGGATTAACTTCCGCAACCTCTTCAATACCTTCATCCAAATAAACAACATCTTGCATACTCAGTTTGTGGTATTCGATTATTTCCCTCAAACAGCTATTCTCACGTATGTATACAGAGTTCTCGTGAGCCAAACGAGCCTTCTCGGCCAAAAGTGTCTCGAGTTGGAGACGTATCTGACCACAGAAAAAGATGATATACAAGACAAAAAAGAAGTGAAACTTTATACCCAATGTGATATATGGAACAAAACCCTCAAAACTATATGCATGTTTTAGTCTTTACCCAATTATATTATTTGTTTTAACCTTTAGCTAATTATACGTGTTTTAACCTTTTATTCATTGGTCCAAATATAATGTTTTAGGATTTTACTCTCAACCCGGAGAATGTTAGAAGAATTGTTATATTTAATTAATTTTAGAGTAGTGTGTCATATCCAGACATTTTAATGTTGTTTTGATTTTTAAAACTTTTAATATTACTTAGTAGATGTATAACATGCCTAAAAGAAATTGCATGTCTCCTCGCATCAATCATTTCAAGACACATTATCATTTTAATGTTCTTTCTCTCCCTAGAATGATAATAACTTAAGGGGGTGGCTAATGGCACCCCTATCATTTGCTAATGCCCCCCCTATCTTCCAATGTAATCAATTTTTTTTGTTTCATTTTTGTGTTTTTGTCTTTTTCTTGTCTTTTCTTTTTATACTAATCTCATTTTACTTATTTTATTTAATTATAAATATATTATTATTATTATTATTATTATAAATACTATTTATTACCCTGTAAATTTTTTATTA